CGCCAGTTGATCTAAACGCCAGTTGATCTAAACGCCAGTTGATCTAAACGACAGTTGATCTGGAACACCGGCGGCCGAACATCGGGCCACCGATGGCCAGTCCAGCTATGGCCGTGCCATCAGTTAACCCTTCGTGCCTAGGGTTGCCGACCCCTGTTCGAGTCACTCTGAGGCTAACAAAGATTTGAACGTGTACATGAAGCTGAGGATCGGGACAGACCACACTAACCTCATGTTGCTGATGGATGATCTCAGATGAAGTTGGGGCTGTTCTCAGTATCTTTTCATTTGCATTTGCCCATCAGGAACTCTCACATAAACTTTTATTGAGGGGGCAAAGTTAGCTGTGTCGTCCAGCTTCGCTGTGCTAATGTGTTTATATTACTATAGCTCTGTAGGTAGAACACCATTATACCTCGAGGGCCAGTGTCCTGCAGGTTTTAGATCCCACCCTGGGTCTACACAGCTGAATCACATGATTAGTTCATTACCAGGCCTCTGGAGAACTGCTGACATGTTGGGGAGGTCATTCAGCCATTTGAATCAGCTGTGTTGGATCACGGACACATCTAAAAACTGGAGGACACCGGCCCTCGAGGCCGGGAGTTGGGGGCCCCTGACCTAGGGTGACTGAAGGTGGTCCACCTTCAGTCACCCTACAAACGTCACTGCTGTTTAGTTTTCTGTCTTCATTCACGGGACTTCCTTTAACTCCCTGCTAACCTCTAGCTACATGAAACTTCATAAATCCTGTTTCTTATGGATCCCTGGAAGTTTACAACAGTCTGCATCCAGAGACAGCTAATGACGCAAGACTCAGGAGGTAGACACCCCAGTAATAAGTGAACTACCTTCATAGTAAATCCACAGTTACCCCTGAAGTTACCTGGATAGGACAGGTAGCTTCAGGGTTTCATAGACCTCTGACAACTCAAACAAACCTGTTTATTTACCTGTCCAATTGTTTGCCCCCCTCAGGCCGTCTCACACTGACCTCCCATCAGTTTCCACCCCCCCATTGCCAAAAGCGGAGCTCGATGAAGTCCGTTTGTCCGATGACAGCCGGTCTCAAGGTACCCGGGAATGCCTGCCCAGCTCTGATGACGCTTCCTGTCACCCAGCCCGTCCGATGGAAGAAGATGATGCCTGCAGCCAGTCAGGCGACAGAGTGGGCCAGGAGAGGCTGTCTGTACCTATAAGAGAGCAGGACGAAGGCGTCATTGATCACACCCACTCTCCTTACCGCAGAGCGCCGGCCTCTCAGTTGGAGACTCCGCCCCCTGTCCATAGGAAAGCCCATAGGAAGACGAACAGGAGGAAAACCAGTGAGTCCTCGTCCTCCTCGCAGCGCCCTGGAGGTCCAGGCCATGGCCCTCGACCCCACCTGGCCCCCACAGACCACAGGCCTGGTCCAGGTGAGAGGCCCTGGCTCACCTGGCAGAGGGAGAGGAGGGAGGCCCACAGAGAGGATGCCTTCTCCTCAGGCCACACGGACCCTCTGGACCAGACCATCGAGGAGGTTAGTTCCTGTTCCAGTACTCTGATGGTTCCCAGGTGGACTTCCTGTCAACCAGTGTCTCTGTTCCACCCGCAGGTGATTCAAAGGTGCTGTTATGGCGCCATTTCCTGCCAAGATGATACAGACAGCTTCCAGCTAAGCCTCCCTGTTTCCATGGAAACACAGAGTGAAGACTGGGACTCGCCTGTGCAGGTACCTGTGGGTCCAGGGAAGAATTGGGCGTGTCCTGACAAGCGCAGACACTGATCACTGATGTCACCTTGCAGGTGGTTTTGCAACGAGCGCAAACTCTCAGTGACACACCTGCGCAGGTGAGTCAGGCGGAGGGGCGGGACCTCTGCCATCTGATGGACGCGCAGGTGGACGTGGAAGATAGAGTGTACTCACAGCAGCTGCACTTTGCCCTCCACGGTCCTGGTGACAGGACGGAGGAGGGGTTCTGGACCCTACCCATCGAGGAGGTGAGGCCCACCACGGAGCGTATCCCAGAATCCTTCAGGGGCAAGACCTGGACCCAGATCCAGCAGGAGGACGAGCAGAAGGTGGAGAGGCTGGTGAGACAGTTCAGGCGCGGGCGCTTCATCTGCTACTTCGACACAGAGTCCCTCGCCAGGTGAGCCAGAACCTGCCAATATTACAATCCAGAGGAAACAAGAATCAGCTGAGCTCACTTAAAGCTAGTTGAGCTGACCTGATAAGGCTCTAGAGTGCGACCAGTTTGGTTGCAAATACGACCTAATTTCTCAATGGAGCGACAAAAAAAAATCCTAGGTTCAAGTAAAAAAAAAAAAAGCCCCGCAGTGGCCAACAACAGACAGCATTATGCCCATATCATGGTCTAAACCAGAGATAGTCAAGGTCGGGACCTCTCAGGTGCCCATGCACAAGGTCAGATGTTCAGATATTGAGATGTTCAGTTCAAAACCTTTGAGGCACTTAATTTTGACTTTCTTTTAATTTTATATATCTTAAGATATTTTAAGTTTAAATTTCAGCTCAGTGAAGCACTTTAAGCACAAGAACGTTTCTACACCAAAGCACTAAAGCACACTTAAAATCCTTTAATTTCCTCAAAAGTGTGCCATGTATGAACTCTGGTTGTGCTTACTGACCACAAAACGATTTTATGTGCACGGCGCTCAAAAATCTGTCAAAATGGTTCAGTATCTTTGGTAAGCTATGAAGCCGCACCGCTTGATAGATTGTTGGAGCACAGCTGCTACCACAGTCAGCAGCCTCGTGTAGTAATACGTACTGTGCTTCAGCATAATATTACCGTATTGTGTGTGTATAAGGACCCCAAAATGGCTCCTGTTATCCATGCTTACGACGTGGATTTCAAACTCTTATCAGTCACGCAGGAATAGAGCAGCTGAGAGAGGATTTAACATTAATGAATCAATGATACAGAAGTAGAGGAAGCAAGACGAATGAGTTGAGTTTATTAAAGACTTATCTGTCTGTTTGGTTTCTTATAAACCCGTGCACCTTATGGTCTGAAAAATACGGTAACTTATCTTTCTTGTAGAAATGTGCTCCAAATAAAGAACAAGATTGTTAGTTAATCACTTATAAATCAATGTTGTCTGTATGGACAGTATTAAAAACAAAGTGAACATGTAAAGCTGCGGCGTTAAGCGATGTGGTTGAAAAATTTGTGTGCACGTAACTTTTGTTACTTTTGTTGTTAGGTGCACCAGTGCAGCCATGGCAAAACGTTAGTCTAGAGACCCGAGTCTCCTTACGTTTGCAGTCTGAGGTAGTAAAAGTAAATGGTAAATAATAATATCAATAACATCAATAACATCCTGGTTAAAGATATCCTGGATTAAGATACTTCAGGTATAAGAACTGAAGTGGTCGCTGTCACGCAACCTTTCCACTAAAACGAGGTTTTACTCTGCGGGTAATCCATGTTCAGGTCGTAAATCACACCCATGACTCTCTCTGCTGATGTCATCAAACTCAGGTATGGTAGGCGGAGCCAGAAAATGAAGGGGGATGCTGAACCCGAGGAGGTGGAGCCAGATGCAGGTATGCTACCCCTGCTGGACCCAGACGAGGGGGACTATGTGTATATGAGGAAAAGGAGGGGAAGGAGGCGGAGCTTCAGACTGGCATCAAGGTGTCAGGTGAGTCGTGTGACTTAGAGCGCTGTCAGTCCCTGCAAAAGAACAAGGTCTCACCTGCACTGTTCCTGCAGGTGGTGAAGGTCAGTCACAGCACTCAGACAGTCCGATTGGTCGTTCCCGCCGTGCATCAGCTATCCCCTGAGGCCACACCCATCGACTACCCACAAGCCAATCCAGAGGCAGCTGAGAGGACACCTGTGCCGACGTGGCGGTCTCTCCCTTCGTCGTACTCCAGCATCATCACACCTGTACAGCCACGCACTTCGCTGGTCTACCTACTCTCCTCCCCATCAGCCTCCGCCCCCACCCGCGTGTCTGCGTTAGGCTCCACCCACAAACGCTGCAGAAAGAAACGCCGCCCGCTGGAGCAGCAGGGGTTAAAGGTCAAATACAAACGACTTCCTGTCAGGTTCTACGACCCCGCCTCCAACCGTATCCTCAAGAACCCACCCAGAGGCCTCCTGTGGCGCAGAGGCTCCACCCCCTCTGGGCCGCCGCCTCCCTGTGTTCGTCAGCTGTTCAGGAGTCTGAGCCCGGACCTGAACACCGATAGAACGCCCACAGAGGTCAAAGGTCACAGCAGCAGCCTTTTGCTAAGCACGCTAAGCAGGGACTCTGCTCAGTCCGACATAACTCAGGCTCCGCCCCTCAACAGGCTGTCAGAGAGCAGAAGAGGGGCTAGAAGGGAGAGGGCACTCCCCCCACCCTCCCAGATACAAACCAGGGGTCAGGCCACACCCCTTCACCCAAGGAGGGAGGGGCTGCGTCGGGCTGGACCCGGCAGGAAACCCCCAATCTCTGCAGGCCCCGCCCCCTTACTGTCATCACGCCGGAGGAGGGGCCGCAGGTCGCGGCGATAGCTGATTTTCAAAATGAAAGTCTTATTTTTCATGAAACCTGATGGTGCTGGTTATTGATGGGTTATTGATCAGTTATTCTGGGATAATGTAGCCTTTAATTAGGCTGTTAGTGTATGGAAGCCTGCTGGTGCCAATTTTAAAATGGAAACTGAATCCATTTATCATTTTTACTGTGTTTGTAGTACGACTTGCCTGTCACTCACCTGTCCAGGTGTGTTTTAAATGCCAGGTTTGTTTTGGCCATAATGATGTTTTCAAATCTGATTGTTTTAAAATGTTAATTTTTAAAGTTAAAAATCTAAATATAAAGTTTAATCTGTCCATTTTGAAGAGCTTTTATTGTTTTAATTTAATTATTTTAAAGTTTTATTTGGGAAGCATTTGAGTAAAAATTATGAATGGATTTTATTTATTGTGTGTCAACAAAATTCGGATGAATTGTTAAAAAATATGACAAAAGAAATTTCATGTTTTATTTAAATTCATGTTTGTAAAACATCACATGAAACATGACGACTTGATGATGATCCTGGCAGCTTCACGTCTCCATAGAAACACGTTATGTTTTGGTAACTTTTCTACAGGTGAACTTTGATACTTTTTGTATCTGTGCATTTATTTAATGTTTAAATAAAGTTTTCTAAGCTGGACGAATCAGCTGGTGAGTTTGTTTCCATAGCGTCGACCAGGTGGAGCATCGAGTCTCCCACCTGCTCTGCAGCCTGCAGAAGCTCCGCCCTCGTCCTCTCACCTGGACACAGAGTTAGAAACATGATGTAACATTAATTTTAGTGTTTGAAGGACAAAGTTATCAAAGAGATGAAGAAGAAAGGACAAAGAGACTGAGCTGGAAAGGATCTGCAGCAGCTGTAAATGATGCACTGACTGTTACAGGTACTGACTGTCAGGTGTGTGCTCACCTGACAGGTGAGTCTGACCTCAGGCAGTCATTTCCGTTTCCTTCTGCAGTCTCAGTCACCTGTCTGAGTCCACCTGTCTGTGCCTCACCTGTCTGTGCCTCACCTGTCTGTGCCTCACCTGTCTGTGCCTCACCTGTCTGTGCCTCACCTGTCTGAGTCCACCTGTGTGTCTCCAGCGCAGCCTTCAGTCGTTCTACAGTCCCCTGCAGCAGCGTCTCTGAACCACGTGGCCCATGTTCCTCCTCTTCTTCAGACAGACTGTTTCGTTCTCCTTGTAGCTCCGCCTCCTCAGGGCCATGCTGTAGCTCTACTGGATGATGTGGAGACATGCGACCTGCAGACTCCTCCTCACAGTCTCCATCAGGTGAGGGAGGTGAGCCCTGGTGGATTGTGGGAGATGTTTGAGTTTGAAGTTCTTCCTGGCTCCACTCATCCTCTATCTCCTCTTCCTCCTCTGTTTCTTCTTCTGTGCTTTTCAGAGTGTCAGAAGTTGGCGTGATGGTTCCTCTTTCTGTGTTCTCCGTGTTGGCACTGTTTGGCATGTTGCTGGCGTGTTGTTGAGCCTCCATCTTGTTCAGAGCCTGAAGAACAACATTTTCAGCTACAACTCCTAGGAGGCACCTCAGCAGTCATCAGCCAATCACTCCGCCCACATCCACTCACCTGTGTGAGCATGCCCTGCAGTTGGGCATTGTACCGCGTCAATGTTTCCACGGTAACTTCCATCTCAGAGCACCTTTCCTCCAGGATGCCCTGCTCGGATTGGACAGTGAGCCGAAACGTTCGGAGCTCCTGCTCCAACAGCCTGATGGGGAAACAAACAACATAAGGTAGCAAACTAAAACAAACAAACATAAACACGAGGCTGATAAACCATCTGGCTGTTTTTCTTTGTTCTCACCATCGGTCCCTCTGTAGGTTCTTCACGTCTGTCAGCAACGCCACTGTCTTCAACGCCAAACACACACAGTCACATGACTGTTGCTATTACATCATTTTTATGACCTCACAGTACACAGTGAGTTCATCACGTCACCTGCTGACTGGACGTGTCCTCATTCGTCTGCAGAGATTTACACGAAGAAGAGCAGTGAGGAGGAGGAGCCTCTGAGGCGCCGTGTGAAACACCCCTCTCAGAGGAGGGGCTGTGAGACGAGCCAGCCAATCGTGTTGAGGCATCAGAAACAGGTGGTGCTCTGAGGGGAAAAGAAATGTAATTATAATAAGATACCTAACGAGGGGGGTCGTATTATGAAAGGGTTATTTTCACACCTGTTCTCCGTCTCGCTTGGCTCCTCCCACATTAGGACCCTCTTCCAATTAGCTTCTCTCTGAGTGTGTCGCCGTGGCAGCAAGGTGTGATGAGCACTGCGCACCAACGAGGTTAGAGACTCTCTCCAGGTGGGCTGGTGTAGAATGACAACTGAACAGGTTATTACTTCCATGTGCACCTGTGGGGATTTACCCCTCGCTTCCTCTCTGCGTCCTCTTACCTGTCAGGCTTTCACCTATTACTCCTGTTACCTTTGTTTCCTGTCACCTGTTCCTCTTACCTGTACTGTTAAATGAGTTCTTACCCCTGATACCTGTTCTGTTCCCTGTGCTTCCAGTCACGTGTGTTCTTACCTGCTTGCAGAACTCGAGCACTGGATGGTGGGTTTTGTGTTTCCTGGTCTGGCGGTCAGTCAGGAAGCAGCTCTGACACACATGGACGTTCACACACTTCATACATCGATACCTGAATACACAGGTAAATCTTCGTCACACATCTGGACCGTGTTTACCCAGTTTCCAGTTTAAAATGTACATCACCTGAGCCCAGTGAAGGGGCGGGTCTTACAGATGTGACAGCGAACGTTGTGCTGGACGCTCTGACTGGCTGACAGCCGGTACAGAGTGGATAACCATAGCAACAGGCATGGCTCACTCTGCAGCCATGACAACAGATGATGCTTGCTCACCGTTGGGGTCAACACCTATAAACACACATAACATGTTAACCATGACGATGGCCAATCACAGCCAGGTGTGCGTTTGTGTTCTCACCCCTTTAAAACACGACTGAACCGCCGCCTCCAAATCGTCCAACACGACTTCCTCCTGAACTGCCGCAGGAACCTGAAAACACACGTTACAGAGAGCAGCAGCAGAGGCATGTTGGGAAATGTAGTGTGAGCTTTTTACCTGGATGAGGTCCGTCAGCAAACACCTGACTCCAGGCTTGCTGATGGATCCTGAAGGGGTTGTCGAGACCTGCAGCAGACCTGAAAACACCCGAGCTTTATTCTACAGGGCATTTTATTGTGAAGGGCTGTGCATTTTATTGTGAAGGGCTGCTATAGAGCAGTGTATTGTCCTCACCTCTGTACTTTAGCAGCAGGTTATCTGAGGACAGAGCGATCAGAGCGGTTTGAAGAGAGCGAGCTGAAACTTCATCGGACTGACTGCTGCAGCGCGCACACACACACACACACACACACACACACGCGCACGCACGCACACACACACACACACACACACACACACTGTTACTCTGACTGGGTGCAGTCCTGTTAGTACTATGAGCACTACAAGTAATGTGATACTGTGAGTACACTGACCGGTCAAACAACCTGAACATCAGACTGCATGTCTCCTCAGTAGCTGCTGCAGTCACATGAACTGGCACGTCCTGTGATGCGCTGTGGAACATCCTGTTCAGAGCGCAGGTCACTTCCTGTCTGCTCATTGCGACGTCACGCTGAGCTCCACCCCCCGAGTGGAGAGCCGCTGTGACGTGTTGCACCAACACGGTGTCCACTAGAAACAGACAGCGATGTCACCGTAACATCTGAACATGTACAGGTCAGAGGTCAGCTGACTCTCAGGGCATACGTGCCAACCCTCCCGATTTTACTGGGAGAATCCCGAATTTCAGTGCCCCTCCCGAAAATCTCCCGGAGCCACCAGTCTCCCAAATTTCTCCTGATTTTCCACCAAAACAAAATGAAAACCCACATCCCTGAATTCATAGCGCGGCCCAGCCAATTCCAGTTTCCAACAATGGTAAAATGGTAAATGGTTCTTATGCAGCGCTTTTCTACTCTTCTGAGCACTCAAAGCGCTTTACACAACTAGTGCATTCACCCATTCACACCAGCACATCTTTCTAAGTGCTTCATAGCTAACATTCACACACATTCATACTCCGATGGATGCATCGGAGAGCAATTTGGGGTTAGTATCTTGCCCAAGGATATTTGGCATGCAGACTGGGGGAAGCCAGGAATCGAACCACCAACCTTCTGATCAGTGGATGACCTGCTCCACCACCTCAGCTACAGCCACCCCGTCAATGGCGGCAGCTACTTGGTTTTAACAGTACTCTTATTATTCTTTCTGGGTTGCAAAATAAACTTTTAGCATATTTTCAGGCGAGAATGTAGCTGTGTAAATTTCAAATATCTAAGCCGGCGAGAACAGCAAACTCCCGGCAGATCGTTTTCAAACCCCAGCGGTCTTTCGCTACTCAGGTTAAACGTGATATATAAGGCACACAGATAACCTAAAAATGTTATTGTTTGACTTTTTTCAGTGTTTTATTTGTTCCTGAGTAAATCGGTTTGGCTGAGATTAAAGTTATTAGATTAGATTAAATAAAACTTTATTAATCCCTCGGGAGGGTTTCTCTCAGGGTTTTCACACAGCTGAATAAACGTCAAACAGAAAACTGATGAAAAGAAGCGTGAGATGGTCGAGAAGTTATGTCAGCGTCCGGTTATATTTAGATAGCAAGGAGCAGAAGGCAGAGTTTCACTCCACTGAGGAAGCTCGTGACATCATTTTGAGGGCTAGACCGTCACAGTCGCTCACTTCTGGCCTACCCGGCTTTCAGAGGACCCGGCCCACTTAGACCACGAAGGCCGGGTTCTCAGGTGGATGCAGCCTCTGAATTTGGACAGCCCCGGCTGGGGGACAGTAATAACTTACTTTAAATATAATTTTAAATAAATAAGCACTGTGAAATTCAAGTTTTCTGTATATGTATACCTAACCTCCCCCCTTATTGAATGTCTCCCTAATTCTCAGGTCTCAAGGTTGGCAAGTATGTCTCAGGGTCAGTGTAGAGCTGAACATCTGACTGTACAAGAGTACACGCAGTGCTACACAGACTACATTCAGTGTACTGTAGTACATGTACTATACTCTGTGTACCAAATGTACTGCAGTACATTTACTACACAGAGTACAGTGTATGTAGTGCAGTACATGTGCTACACAGAGTATAGTACAAGTACTGCAGTACATGTGCTACACAGAGTACATTAAGTGTACTGCAGTACATTTACTACAGAGAGTACATTAAGTGTACTGCAGTACATTTACTACACAGAGTACATTAAGTGTACTGCAGTACATGTGGTAAAGAGAATACACTCAGTGTACTGTTACCCACGGCAACAGCGTCTCTGCAGAGCCTGGAGCTTCATGGCAGTTCTGTAGCCCGATGGACAGATTTGATTGAAACTCTCTGATGAACAGGAAGCAAACATCTG